TTAAATATCCGCATGAGGGGAAGACTGATAAAGCTGCAGGGAAGTCCACTGAACGATAAGCCAGGGAGTCCAGAATCTTCAGAAAGAGAGAGGAGGAAATGGTCGTTGTGAGAAATGGGAATTGGATCGCCTCCCCTGTGATCAAGCAAGGGTATCCCTGAGCTGGAGGAGGAAAGATAATAGATAAGATAAAGGGGTGAGGTCAGAGATGCCACATATTTCCCCACCATCTCAAATATCCACCCATCTAAACTTGTAAAGCTGACATCTTTGCCCAGAATTCCTTGTTTTAATTTGAAATTTCCAAACTTCCAGTGTATCTGGGAGCTGTTAGCACTGGCACGTAGTAGAAATTAAATAGAAAATGCCGTTTCCCAAGTCCTCAGAGCCTATATCCCTGCCATGCAGTGTGTAATACTGTGTGAATATTTGTAAAAGAAGATGCCTTTTAAGGTTATCTTCTTAATCTTCTCTCACTCACCAAATCTCACTGTGCAGCTTCTCTAGCCTCCAGTCACCAACTCTTTTATCCTTACTTTTTTCTCTTGCCTTTATTTTGCCACTTCCCTCCAACCTTTGTCTTCATGCCACTGCCGTAAAACCCCAACTCCTGGCAGGCCAAGCACACCTCTGCCTGGAAGCCTGCAATAATTAGTGTCCGTGGCCAGGAGGTCTGAGGCCTGGGCACCCCTCCTCCCCTGTGCCCTCGGAGACAAGTATTTCCTTTGCCTCTTCTCCTTCTAACTGCTCTTCCCCACTGTCCCATACCAATTGCTGTTGAATCAATTCTGACTCATGGCGACCCCACATGTGTCAGAGTAGAACTGTGCTTCAATGACTGGTTTTTCAAAGTAGATCATCAGGTCTTTCTTCCAAGGTGCCTTTGGGTGGACTCGAACCTCCAACCTTTCCAGTTAGCAGCTGAGAGTGCTAACTGTTTGTACCACCCAGGGACTCCCAGTGCCCCACAGAGTAGCCTCATCCTTGTTGTTTAAGTAAAGGATGGATGTGAGGGCTCCAGTCAGAGGCAGGGGACTGCTCTCTGAAACTGGCTGTTGGCTGCATCTCCAGGGGAATTTTTCTTTTTTCGTTAATTTTGAAATGCCTTGTCTCTGCTTCTGGCCTTGCATAACCCTCGCTCCACCAGCTGGCCGTGGACACACTTGTACACCCCTGATTTGCAGTGAATACACTGTGTTCTTTCACGGCCCCTGCCCTCCTGGCTGTGTGTGCTGAAGACACCAGGGCAGTGGGTGGCCATTTGTCAGCGCTACCCCCCAACCTCTGTGGCAAGTGCCTTCTGCAGCCATCATCCCAGTCACCCACGCTGTGCCCAGAGAGGCACAAAAGTGGGTGGCAGGGCCCTAGGCTGGAACCGTGTATCATGCACTTACACGGGAGGAAGCTCTGATGTTTTAGCAAGAGGACCCAGGGTTTAAACTTTCGTCATTACTGCAAGACCCGAACTAGAGCTAAAACTATGACAGAGAATGCCAGCACCCAAGTCATGGCTTCCTTTGCTAGGGTTTCCCATTTTTCCACTTAGTATCGAGGGTCTCTTGTAATCACACAGTGTCTCTGTGATGCTTCTACCCTGAAATGTGCTGCAGAAAACAAGGCTACTCTGTGTGGCCTCAGAGGCCAGCAGGACCTAGGCGAGAGCAGCAGAGCCCAAGGCCACTCTGTGTGTCCTCGGAGACAAGCAGGACCTAGGCAAGGGCAGCAGAACCCAAGGCCACTCTGTGTGTCCTCAGAGACCAGCAGGACCTAGGCAAGGGCAGCAGAACCCAAGGCCACTCTGTGTAGCCTCAGAGACCAGCGGTACCTCGGCGAAAGCAGCACTCCCACGGATTTTTTGACCCAGTGCCTTAGCCGAGACTAAAAAGAGAAAGCGAGAGGTGGTGGTGCATATGTAGCTGTCTTTGGCAGTTTTGAGATCAGCTCGCTGTGAGTGGATACAAACCTCCCCATGGTGTCTCGACCTCCTTCCCGAGTCTGATGTGGGAGTAGGGGTGGGGGTTCCTGCAACTCATTGTTCTCTTCCTTTCTTGGCTTGGGTCACTGTATGGCATGCTGACAGGCACTGTAGGTATATGCGGGTCAACACACCATTCCCTAAACAGTTCGTTGTTACCTTGCCGGTGGGTAGTGGAGGATGGTGGAACAAAGTTCTTGTGACCTGCCACTGGCAAATGAATTTAAAACTTTTGTTGAAAGAAAGGTGGGGCAGATGGGTACGGCTCCCAGCTGCTACAAAGCAACTGTGGCTCTCCTCAACAAGCCACTGTCTCGCCCAGCCCTAGACTATTTTTTGCAGGCTCTGCAGCCAAGGGGAGGAGAGCGTGATGGGAAAAAGGTCACAGCAGAGCCATTAGGGGATTCCCACACTGGGGAACTGATAGCAGCTGATGCAACTGAAGAGTCAGAGAATTATTTGCAACAGATGAAGGCATGGTATTGTGCATACCAAGAGTTTATCATCTGTAAAATGAGGGCCTGAGGTCCCCAACACCTTCTAGCTCTTCACCTCTAATTTTATCATATGATATGTGTAGGGAGGAGTGTTAATTTTCTATGCTGTGTAACAGATTATCACAAATTTTAGTGACTTAAAACAACACCCATTTAGTATCTCACAGTTTCTATGGATCAGGAGTCTGTCAGGGCTTAGCTGGGTTCTTTGCTCAATGTCTCATCAGTCTGCAGTTTAAGTGTCAACCAGGGCTGCCGTCTCACCAGAAGCTTGACTGGGGAAACTTCCAAGCTCCTTCAGATTGTTGGCAGAATTTATCTCCATAGGCCCTCTCACAACATGGAAGCTTGCTTTCTCAAAGCCATCAAAGGGAATCTTTCTTTCTCTACAGTGTGCTAAGATGAGATCTTCTATTGTAACCTATTCAGAAGTGACACTCCATCACCTTTGCCATATGCTGTTGGTTCTAAGCAAGTCACAGGTCCTGCCCACACTCCAGTAGAGGGGATTACACAAAGGCTTGAGGAAGCAGAGATGGCAGCCATGTTAGAATTTTGCCTACCACAGAAAGAGGAACTGTCTAGAAAATATTTTGAAGGTAATTTTAAGTGAAGGCCTAGCGTAATATTTGTAACCACGCTGTTTTTTCTTTGAAAAGGAGCAGCTTTTTTTCTTCCATCTCAGAAGGCCACCAAATCCTGAGCCTAGTACTTTCCACAACACATTGATTCCAATTCCAGTTCTGTCTCTTACTGTCTGTATGTTATTAGGAAAGGTCGGTTCCTTATTTTGTTTTGTTTCTAACTACTGAATCGAGTTTCCTCCTCTGTAAGAATGCATTTCACTAAGATTATGTTGGATACCACCATACAGTTGCCAGTTATGGTCAAGTCAGTTCCAACTCATGGGGACCTCGTGTGTCAGAGTAGAACTGTGCTCCACGGGGTTTTCAGTGGATGATTTTTCAGAAGTAGATCACGAGGCCTTTCTTCGAAAGTACGTCTGGGTGGACTCACACCTCCAACCTTTTGGTTAGCAGCCAAACGTGTTAACCATTTGCACCATTCAGTCACTTAGTAAATGGTATCTCCAGCCTCTTTCCTTATAAAAACAAAACCAAACCCATTGCCTTGAAGTTGAATCCGACTCATAGCAACCCCATAGGACAGAGTAGAACTGCCCCATAGGGTTTCCAAGGCTGTAATCTTTTTGGAAGCAGATTGCCACATCTTTCTCCTGCAGAGCGGCTGGTGGTTTTGAACCTCCAACCTTTTGGTTAGCAGCTGAGCACTTCACAAGTGCACCACCAGAGTTCCTTCTTTCTTTATAGGACTATGTCTAGTGCTGCCATAACAGAAATACAACAAGTGGATGGCTTTAACAAACAAAAGTTTATTCTCTCACAGTATAGTAGGCTAGAAGTCCAAATTCAGGGCATCAGCTCCAGGGGAAGGCTTTCTCTTTCGACTCCGGAGGAAGGTCCTTGTCATCAATCTTTCACTGGACTGGGGGCTTCTGCACGCAGGAACCTCGGGTCCAAAGGATACGCTCTGCTCCCAGTGCTGCTTTCTCGGCGGTATGAGGTCCCCCTGTCTCTCTGCTCGCTTCTCTCTTTCCTATCTCAAAGAAGATTGGCTTAAGACACAATCTAATCTTGTAGATCTCATCAACATAACTTCCGATGATCCATCTCACTGACATCATAGTGATGGGATTTACAAGATAGAAAAATCAGTCAGATGACAAAATGGTGGAAATCACACAATACTAGGAATCATGGCCTAGCCAAACCGATACACATATTTTTGGGAGACACAATTCAATCCCTGACAGACTATTAATTTTATTTACATAGAAAACTCAACCACAAGATAATATCAGTCTTGCTAGTGAGATGAGAATGCCAAAGTAAAAACAAAACATATGTTTTTAAACTAATCTAGTTACACCTAAGGAGCTGAAAGTGCTCTGGTCATGTGCTGACTGTAGTTCTTATATTAGAGGAAAAAGGCTAAAATCTTAGGCATGTCCAGAAAATCGTGCTCATGGCCATGTTTAAGAAGTGCTGATGTCTTAGATTTGGGGTTTTAAGTCTTCCTTTCATTTTTTTTTCTTTCCCCCAGAAGTAAGACTGGATTAGTGAGCCCTTGTTAAGATGAAAGCTCTCATCCTGCTTAATGTAGGGAAACAACAGGATAAAGCTCAGCTTTAGGTGGGAACTGCTCTTTATTTACAGGGCTTTTGTGAAAAGGCAGGACTAGTGAACTCTGAAAGGAGCCCTGGTGATGCAGTGGTTAAAGCCCTCAACTGCTAACTGAAAGGTCGGTGGTTCAAACCCACCAGTGACTCTGAGGGAGAAGGACTTGGTGATCTGCTCCCATAAAGATTACAGCGTAGAATCCCTGTGGGACAGTTATACCCTGTCCTGTAGGGTCACTATGAGTCAGAATCTGCTTAATGGCACACAGCAACAGTAGTGAACCCTAAAGGGTCAGTGGATTATAACCTGCTCTGGTTTATTCTCCAGGTTTCTTCATGGTGTGGAAGGGATTGGATGGTGTGACCAGTTCTCTTGAAAGCCTCCCTTGGCCATAACTCAAGGAGGTCTTTTGGACCCCATCTTATTTCAGAGACGCTTCTTAAGCTACTTGAGGAAAATGATGTGACAGTTCATATCGAAAAGGATTTTTCAGAAACATATAACATCTGTGAAGAAAGTGATCCTTTTTCTCTTTCGCAAAATAAACATTCTCAAATTCCAAAATGCCAGCCAAGACCCCGATTTACCTGAAAGCTGCCAATAACAAGAAAGGAAAGAAATTTAAACTGAGGGACATTCTGTCTCCTGATATGATTAGTCCTCCCCTTGGAGACTTCCGTCACACCATTCACATCGGCAAAGAGGGCCAGCACGACGTTTTTGGGGACATTTCCTTTCTTCAAGGCAACTATGAGCTATTACCTGGAAACCAGGAGAAAGCACACATGGGCCAATTCCCTGGGCATAATGAGTTTTTCCGGGCCAACAGCACCTCTGACTCTATGTTCACAGAAACGCCCTCCCCAGTGCTCAAAAATGCCATCTCCCTCCCAACCATTGGAGGGTCCCAAGCGCTCATCCTACCCTTATTGTCACCGGTGACATTTAATTCCAAGCAGGAGTCCTTTGGCCCAGCAAAGCTGCCCAGGCTCAGCTGTGAGCCTGTTGTGGAGGAAAAGCCTCCGGAGAAAGGCAGCCTGCTGGAGAACGGGGCAGTCAACCAGGGAGACACCTCGTGGGGCTCCAGTGGTTCCGCATCTCAGTCCAGTCAGGGCAGGGACAGCCACTCATCCAGTCTCTCCGAACAGTACCCCGACTGGCCGGCCGAGGACCTGTTTGACCAGCCGTCCCCATGTGAGCTCATCAAGGAAAAGACGAAATCAGAGGAGTCCCTCTCTGATCTGACCGGCTCCCTCCTCTCACTGCAGCTTGACCTGGGTCCCTCACTTTTGGATGAGGTGCTGAACGTCATGGATAAAAACAAGTAACAGGACACGCAGCCCTTTCCCTCTGGGGTGAGAGGTACTGAAGAGCCAAAACTAACCACAGTCGCAGAGGAGAGCTTCACTGGCTGTATTTGCAGTTGTGCCATGGGTTTTCTAAAATAACGTTCCTATAAGATATTTTTTTACCTATCATGTTACGTCCTGTTTGCAAAAAGTTTAAAAAGAAACAAACCTATCCTGGCAAAAAGAGGAAATGAGTCAGTCAGAGCCCATTTTCGGCGGGCATTGCTGATGTTCTGCTTACATTTTGTTTGCAGACGTGTAAGTAAGGAATCCGGCTTGGCTGGGATTGGCACTAGTTTTGAAGGGCTGGGCAAGTCACAGGAAGGAACGTTACAATACTCCAGCGTTTTCTGAGCAAGAGGAAGTCAAAACTATTTAACACCGAAGCCTTTTTTCTAGACTCTTTTCTATATTATACCGTTTGGGCTCACCATAGCGAATTCTGCAGTGTTAAAACTTTTCTCTGTTTTCACTTTGAATAACTTTATGGGTTTTGGGGATTTTCTTGTAGTTCTTATATATCCCTATATATTATATCTGTATCGAAAAATTTTGACCGTCAGCTACGTGTTGGTAAGACACAAGCAAAGTATTACTGTAACTAAGTTATTTTTAAAGTTAAAATATATTTTTATGTGCCTTTGGCTTTTTATTGCAGAGTCTACATTTTATAGATATTGCATCAAATGTCATTTGTTTCCATTGGGGTTCCGTTGTAAGCTGTGTGTGTATGTGTTTGGAAAAGTGTATTCATATTTAGCATTATTTCTTTTTCACCTGTTATCATACTTCTAACAGCAGCCAACAATGGATTGTAAAATATAAAGGCACAGGTTACTCACGATGCTTCTGCAGAGACTGTGGGCTTCACCACATAATGTATTTGGAAATATGGGTATTTTAGTACAGTACATACTCGCATTACATAGGTACTTCATGCAACACAATAAAGAGTAAATGTTAAAATGAACTTGCTTATTTATACAGAAGAGTGTAAGAGAATATTTTCTTTAAGTCTAGGGTAGAAAAATTGCTTCTCTAAAATATGCGTGAGACTTTAAAACAAGGTAAGATATGGTTTCCATCTACCCTGTAATTTTCATTATTTCCTGAAGGTTTGAGATTTCAGAAATGGGGCCCTTCAAGTTTAAGAAAAATGTTCGTATGAGATCGGAGGTTTTTTTTAGAGTCAACACTGATGCCAGCCTCTCAGGGTTCATTTCTGTGGATCTCCTCCCTTTGTTAACACCACCACAGCATCCCTGTAGGATGGATGTTTCATGCAGCTCATAGCTTATAGATGAGATCAACGAGGCTAAAAGGGTAGTAGAGAGCGCTTAAAAAAAAGAAACCAGTTGCCATTGAGTTCAGTATGTCAAGTTGAGCTGTGCTCCATAGGGTTTTCAATGGTTGATTTTTTGGAAGTACATCACCAGGCGTTTCTTCTGAGGCACCTCTGAGTGGACTTGAACCTCCCCTCTTTCAGTTAGCAGCTGAGTGCGTTAACCATTTATACCACCCAGGGACTCCAGAGAGCACTCACCCCCTTCTTTCCTCCCCCTCAAGAACCCAGAGATTCTCTGAGGATGTTGGTTAAGGAAATAGGAACAGGAAATGTACACACTGATTCCTGTCCCTTTGTCAACCACCTCTTCCCCTACCAGGGAAAAACATTTGCACACAATAACTGCCAACTCAACTCTTTCATTTCTCCTTGAAATGTATCTCTCAAATGACCTCACCGTTCACTTCAGTGGTTCTCTCACTGGGTTTGGAGTTATGAAGTTATGTATAACACAATGAAATCTGTTTTACAACTATTATTATTGTTTGCAGTTTCATCTGAAATAATACTTGAACTGCAGGTGAAATGCATTTAGGATGAATAACCAATTAGAAGAGCTCCCTTAGAGCATTGAGTGTTTTTCCACAATTTTCCAGTTGTGCTTCTTTATCCCATAATTTTCCAGTCTTCTTTTTTGTTCAACAACACCCCACTCACAGTTCACAGTTCCAAATAGAGACTTCCCCAGCTTCTTATCAGTCTTGTTAATGAGGATGAGTTCATTTATCTCATAGTTTTTAGCCAGTTTTGGCTACTCTTTCAACACCTTCCTCCATCTTAATTATTATTGATCATATTAAATCTCTCATTTTACTCTTCATTTATAGCATAACCTCAAGGAAAAGATTAAGCAGCTAAGCTAGATGATGAAGGCTGTCGGTGTGTATTTCCTCTGCTCACAGGGGTCTGGAGACAGGTATGGAAGTGCAAGTATGACAGAACTGGGTTTAATGACACAATCTAAATAATAACGCATCCTGCATGTATTTAGCCATGTTACTTTCTCTGAGCCCTTTCACATACCATCTCTCTGCCATCAACTTAGGTAATTGAGATGACAACAAACATGCCCTTACTGGAGAGAGGAAACAAAGCCACATCTGGTTTGTAAACTATCTGTTGAGTCATTTCTTCCTTGGCAACGCTTCTAATGCCTGGTGCCTTCTCCAGGGAGCAGGTGCAGAGCTGCTGGTGTTTTTCCCACAGAGAAGCACTTTAGACTCACAACTGCTGAGAGCTGAATCGATGTTCTCTCAGCCTCCATGAACACTCTCCCACTTTTAACCTAAGTCATCTTCACTTGCTTATAGTCAAGGAAACCCAAGATGCACTTTACCTGCAAGCTCAAAGAGAGTGGAAACCACCTGTGACTCAACAGCCAGAAGAGACCCAGCTGTTTGAATAAGTAGAGATGCTTCCTGTAGTAGGCAAGGTTCTTAGTGATCTCTTCTCTGGGCAGCAAGACCTAACAAAGGACAAGATAGATAATTTCTGCCTAAAATTATCTGCTTAAAATATCAAAATATCAGAGTTACTTGGCGCTTCACAGATACAAAGTCATAAATGGTGACATGTTAGTGAGCCAAAATCACTGTCAATAAGCACACACTAAAGACTAAAGCGATTGAACAGAAACAGAACATGGGTCTCCAGAATCATGGTCTGTCTATTCTGTTTTTAGATTACTGCAAGCTACCATTTTTTTCAAAGTTCCCTTCAAACATCTGAATTCATGAAATGAAGGAAATCCATGAGTCCATGAATTAGCAATGGATTCAAGCATAACAACAATTGTGAAGATGGCACAGGACCCAGCAGTGTTTCGTTCTGTTGTACATAAGGTCACTATGAGTCGGAACCAACTTGATGGCACCTAACAACAACAACAACATGAATTAACTTGATAAATACTTACAGCATACAAAAGAAAAATTACGCATTAGGTGATGGCTCTGATCATCCTCCTAATATGGAGCCTGGTAAGACTGAAGCATTTTACTTTGAAATATAGAAAGACAATAGAATGACCCAACATGATCTCCAATAAGGGTTTTTCCTTTAGAAATTGTGTTACCAAACTAGTCCCAAATTTAGCAGTTCTACTGAACAAAATTCTTGGACTTTAGATTTGAACCATTGACCTTTTGGTTAGTAGCCAAGCTCTTAACCACTGTGCCCCCAGGGCTCTGGTTTAATGTCCAGACTAACATGAATGATTGACTTTTTTTTTCTTAGACAAGTCAGTGAGCCATGTAGGTATGGTTATTGAGTGCTGCCATTCGGTCCCCATCCAAACTCCAGCAAAATAAGAATAGTTTCCAAATGTCCATGGTAAATCACCATTAACCCACGTGGGGAGCCTTCTGGTTTGTTTGGCTGCATGGGCCTCTAGAAAGTCACAATACTCAAAACCAGCATTCACACATTAGTGTATTGGTTCTGGCTAAGCAATTCATTTATTTTCCAAAGAAGATGATCTCCCTGGTAGATTTAGTGATATGTTTGTTTCACCTTACTGTACCTAGACGGCCAGTTGCTATATTCCAGTGGTACACCACTTTATCTGGTGAGCCTTCCATCTGAGGGTATTTAATTTTCATCTTATTCTTAGAGCAAGTGCTTGTTAAGTACATCTGAATATTTCTCACTTGAGTTGTCAAGAAGTCATTCTGTGGTAAAGATGCTACAGAGAATGTCATGTGGAAGAATGGGAACTATGCCTGTTTTATGAAGTTATGTATAACACAATGAAATCTGTTTTACAACTATTATGCTGCAGTTAATTATCTTTCATTTTTACTTTAAAAAAATCTGATAGTGATGTCACTTTCATTGGCTTTTTAAAGGGTGGTTAATAATCTTTATCCTTTGAAGGTCAGCCAGATTTCCTTCATGGAAAGCAGATTGACATGGATGATAGATAGAAACATCTGCCCAAATCAAAGCCATTGTACAGAATAGAATTATTCTTCCAGAGACTCATCACGCAAACAGAGATGCCTGCCATACATCAAAATTATCAAAGCTGAATAAGTGAAGTAGGTATTATGCTCACCATAAAATGATTATTGGAGTATGGCATAATGCATGCATGGGATTCATTACCAGAAGAATCATTGGGAAAAAAAGAGCTTTGTGTTTTGAGGAGGGAGAGACCTGGAATTGCTTTGTGGAACAGAAGGACCTAAGGGGGGGCAGTCTCGAGGGACTGATGAGATTTTTTTTTTTTTAGGGGTAGGGGGCATGTTAGAGAGGAAGAAGATTATGAGTAAATAAAAGAATACACTCTGTCCTAGTAGAGTGTCTACACAAAACGGTTCAGGAACAGAGATTGTAGAACATGTCAGTTATAGGTCTGAAAGATTTGGGCCCAAGGCCTGAAAGCTCTCCTGGTGGAGGAAGAAAATGTTCTCTAATCTGTGACTGCTGAACAGGCAATTTCCAGGGTTGAAATTTTATATAAGTGGCTGCCATCTTGTGATAGCTCATATCCAGTCAATAGTGACCACTCTGACCTGAAGGCCAGGTTAGGGACACTTCAAGAGTGAGGTTGTCTTCAGGTGTCCAGGAAAAGTCCTTTATGATGATGAAAGAAGGGTGGGGGGCTAAATGTTTCCTGAAAGAGCACCAGATGAAGTAAGTTCACCCTAGACTGAACATACTTGGACAGCTATCCCACCAGCAGTACTTTTGCCCTCTCTCAACGTATCTTTCCTGGGCTGGTTGATTGAGCATCACTCAGGAAACTTAAGAGTCTCGGCTGAGAATTTTTTTTTCCCCAGGTCCCTACAGCCTGAGAGGGCCAGTGGTTCCAGCCTGTGGAGTAGGAAAACCAACTCAATGTAGTAGAAGCAAACAGCCCCTGAAGTTCCCTCAAACTTCCTGAAGTCCAAGCCCACAAAACTGAGGCCCAGAGACAGGCAGGAGTCCTGGACTTCCAGAGTCTGGTTTCCTGTGTGAAGACCTGCCTGCTTCCTTCTGAGCCGTCCACCCCTCAGAGAAGACTACATTCACTCCCAGGGTGAAGCCTTACCCTACAGGCCACATCAGGAAAATGGCCATCTCAGGACAGCACAGCATCCCTGACATTTATACCACAGGTATCCACATAAATAGTGAAAGATCCTTCCATTATTTGGGTTCTTAAAAATCCCAAAAAAGAGACTCTTGAGAGCACTGCTTTTCTGTGGAAAATTCCATCTTTAACAGAAGTCTTAAGAAAGGTGCATTAAAACTTCCAGAGGAAATTGTCCACATACCCATGGCCAGTCTTTTTTGTAAGTTAACAAGGAAGAACATCAGTGGCCCTGGAAAGACAATGTTGCTCAAAATAATCTCTCTTCTACTCAGTTGCCCCAGGGCCATAAAAACCCACCCTTAGAGATGGCTCCTTTGGGTGAGGCATTATACTAGGGACAAAGTCCTCTTAGAATACTCCCAGGAGTAAGTAAAGGCACATGAGGGTCACCAGCAATGGGATGTGAACTTAACTTGTGTGCCATGGAGTCAATTCCCCTATAGGACAGAGTAGAACTGCCCCATAGGATTTTCTAGGCTGTAATCTTTGTGGGAGGAGCCCTGGTGGTGTGGTGGTTAAAGCACTCGGCTGCTAACCAAAAGGTTGGTAGTTTGAACCCACCAGACACTTTGCGGGAGAAAGATGTGGCAGTCTGCTTCCGTAAAGATTTACAAACTTGGAAACCCTATGGGGCAGTTCCACTCTGCCCTATAGGGTCACTATGAGTCAGAATCAACTTGAAGGCAGTGGGTTTGGTTTTTTGGTTTTTCAGTCTTTACAGGAGTAGATCCCCAGGTCTTTCTCCTAAAGAGCTGCTGGGTGGGTTCAAACCACTGACCTTTCAGTTAGCAGCCAAACACTTAGCCATTGTGCCACCAGGACTCCTTAGCACACAAACCTCTAGCAGTTGAACTAGGGCAAGGAAAGACACAGAGCAAGAGAGACCAGAAGCATGAAGAGTGAATTCAGTGAATGCGTAATTTTGCCTGGGACCAAAATAAGGGGCAGGGGGCGGGGGTGGGATTGGGAGACATGCTTTGCAAGAGATTTACCTATCACCAAATGTGACCTTTAGCAGAGGAGATAATAAAGGTCTCTGGTGCCAGAGGAGTAACTACACCCATTACAAGTAAATCTAATTTTGAATCAACACAAGTTAGATAGTACAGGAGAAGATTAATATAAAGCTGTCAGTGACTGACATGGTTCCACTCACCCTACAAGCAACAAGGCATTAATGCTTTGATGCCAAATGATATTTCTAAATCACTGTATTTTCCTCTGCCTTTTCGCCATCTCTTAACCTCAGAATCATAGTGACATGCTTTCCCTGATAAGATTAGGATTTTATCCTGAAGTCTCCTTTATAATGTTTTTCTGCATTCTAAGGTAATAGCAATGCCCCAGAAACTCACGAAACTTTGAAAAGCCTGAAAAATAACATTAAAAATCACATACTGAATTTTTCAAAGTAAGCAGTAGCATTCAGACATAGTTTTGTAAAGTAATCAGAGGCATTCTTAAAAGTGAGAGAAGATAATTGGTAATTATTTTCTAAGCCCTACTCCAAATGGCATGAAAATTAAATTGGAATGGAACTAGAAACAAGCAAAACATTGGTGGTGCTCTGGCAGCAGATATCTCACCATAAATGGCAAAAAAGAAGAACAGACTAACACAATCTTAGATACGAGAGTAGCGCCAATAAGGTTCACCCATCCTAGCAGGAGACCAGGGCTCTTGTGAGAAAATAAAGCACTGTTTGTGAAGATTCACTCGCAGGAACTCCCCCTTTAAAAAAAAAAAAAAAAAAAAAACCACACAGCTGTGGGTTCACTGTTACTTGAAATTGCTAATTTTAACACAGTTGGCTCTCTGGACTTCATCTGCACATTGAAAATTCATCTAGTGCCTTAGGTAATTGAAAGGAAAAGTTTAAGTGCGGTGATAGCAGAATACAGAGGAGGAGCAGACCCTCTGTATGAAGCCAGGGAGAGCAGGGGGTCTTCCCACCGAGTCCACACTGCAGAGGAGAGGGGAGCCACCTTCTCTGTGATGGCTCCAACCAGAAGTAGGCAAACTATTGCAAGTGAAATGGCCTCCAGGGATGCCCACCCCCTGTAACCAGCCATGAAATAGGAAAGCATAGAAGAGACTTTTTTCTTCCTGCCTCTGGTTGTCGAAAGCTTCACCTCCCCAAGGAGACTCCTCACCTCCCCATCCCCTAGCCTCTGTCTCCAGTGAGAGGACAGAGCCAGGGTGTCTCAAGTGTGCTTATGAGAGTGTGATCCTGCCTGGAATTGCTCAGGAAAGACAGTTTTGGGTCTCCTGCCCTTCCAAAAAGGGCTTGTCTTATAGGTGGGTCAGTCACTACTAAAACACCAAGTGATATTACATGAACAATATACCTGTAGACTGAATAATGGCCCCCAAAGATACCAGGTTCCAGTCCCTGGAACCTGTAAATGTTACTTTATTTGGAAAAAGAATCTTTGTAGATGTGATTAAGAATCATGAAATGGGGTGATTATCCTGGACTATCTGGGTGGGCCCCAAATGCATAGTCCTTATATGGGAGAGGCAGAGGGAGAGTTGACACACAGAAGAGGAGAAGGTGATGTGAAGCCGTAGGCAGAGACTGGAGTGATGGGCTCCAAGCCAAGGAATGCCGCTGGCAGCCACCAGAAGCTGAAAAAGGCAAGTAACGAAACCTCCCCTAGAGTCTCTGGAGAGAGTGTGGCCCTGGCAACGTCTGGATTTCAGCGCAGTGATACTGACTTCAGACTCTGGCCTCCAGAACATTTCTGTTATGTTCAGTCACCAAGTTTGTAGTATTTTGTTACAGCAGCCATGAGAAACAAATACTCCGCCCAACCACTGGAGAGAATTCAGAAAAATAGAGTATGTAAAGGATAGAGTTAACAAAGAAGACCCCCTTAAAGGGTTAGGTTCTTAAAGGAGATGAGGCCAAGACGACCCCACCTTCCTGGACCTCAGACTCCACTACAAGAAGAGGAGTTAGCACTGATTCAGTGGAGCCCTGATGGTGGCAAGGAAGGGGAGAACATTCCAGGTAGGTGCAGAGTTTAATCCTGCATTCACATTTCCAGAAAGCATCCTCTGCTAAAAGTTCACAAGAGAAAGCTACTTTCATGTGCCACATGTTCAAGCGGGGTACCACTGTGTCTAATTATACCCAGGTGTGATGCCTGAGCCCAGGGGCCAAGTCTGCTACCTCCAGGAGGGCCACTGTGCTCAGAGTCAAGTGCTGCTGCTGTAACTCCAGTCCGTGTGTGCATGGTGGGCAGACTTGGGAGAGATGGAGGGAAAGAAAGGATTTAAAACGTGTTTTAAGGTTTGTTTCCAGCCCCAGACAACATGTGATATTGGCAGAGGCCAGATTCAATCCCTGTCATCCAAGGAAACAGAACAGCCTGCAGAGAGGGAGCTTGGTTGTTGCTCGGGAGATACTCTTCTAGTAGCTCTTTGCCTAAGAAGTGAGCCTTTCCACACAAAGGCCAGGCAAAGTTAAGTAGCCCTTCTCAGTGTGCCCATGGCAGATCAAAGAAGAAGCTAGAGAGTTCATTGGGGCCCGGGAGTGATGTGTGGGGCGTTGTAAATACCGTCAGGAAGCTGACTGGCAAAGAAACAGCCAGTGTGCTGGGGGCCACCGAGTAGTGCCTTCACATCACAGTCCATACAGAAAATGACAACATGTGAACAACACCCTGGGGAGACGGAAGGGCTGTTATGGCTGAACAGGTTCCATTTACCTGCCAGAGGTGCTGAGAGGTTCAATGCCTCAGCACTCTTGTAACATATTTGACAGCCAACAGTCGCAATGTCAGAAGTCCTGCCCCAGAACACAAGGACCTCACTGGCCGCTGGCTCTTTATGGGACTGTCCTGCAGCTCTTGATAGGACTCAGAGTCTTGGGTCTTCTGTGAGGCACAAGGAGGTGAAGGAGAAAGTGCGGTCCCAAGAAGGAATACAGAGTATCTCACTTGGTGAGGCCCAACTGCCACGGTGGCAGTGGTGATAGCAGCAGCAGGGCAGGGGCAAGTCCTTCCCCTGTAACAGAGGACAAGGAGCAAACCCAGGGAGACTGGGAGTCCTGGGCACCAACTGGTGAGTTGAGAAGGAGATCTATACAAAGAAAACATATTCAGAGCCTGACAGGAGGAGCAAAACTAAGCCTTTGCTGTGACCACCCATGGCTCAAACAGTGCCAATCTCCCCAACTGCTGGCTTCCGGGGAGAACATGCTCTAGTCTCTCTCGTGAAAATCTTCCACAGCCTTGAAAGGGTAGTTTACACCGAGGCCCCCCTTTCCTTATCTCACGTTCTCAAATTCACTGAAGCCTCTGTTCTCTGGTTTCCACCTCCACCACTCTACTGAAGCAGTACTCAACAAAGTCACCAATGAACTCTATTTCTAAAGACAGACAGACATCTCCTACCACTATCTCCCTGCCTTCACTGCAGCATTTGATTCTACCAGGCACTGTTTCTTCTCTCACACTCATCTGTCTGGACTTCCTTCACCCTCTCTAACGACTCCATTCTTCATCCTCCCTGGTTTCTCTTCTTCCATCTGCCCAGTTGCTATTGTGCAGGGTCCTCCTCATCCTTTTCTCAGTTCCTCCATTTGGTGAAGTCTGGTTGCATAGATTCTACTACCAGCTCTTTCCTGCTGACCCCACGTCTGTATCTCCTGCACAGACTGAACTCTTGGGCTTCAGGGCTGAATATCCAACTGGAGGTTTCTGCTTGTTTATCCTACAGGAACCGCAAACTCACCATCACCAACAATATGTTCCCATCTTCCTCCTCCTATCCTAGTGAATGGCACCCCTATCCGGCCAGAAGCCCAACACAAAAACCTGAGAGTGGACTCCTCTACCCACATCTCTCTGTTTCTACCACATTAATATTTCTCATATTCAATCTCTTTTTTGCATTCCCACTGCACTAGCTTTATTCAGGTCCTCCTGGATCCTTGTCTCTATTAGCAACAGCTTCCTATTTCCTTGCCTTCAGTGTGACCCCTGCCAATGTTTTTGTTTTGTTGTAGTTGGGTTTTTTTTTAAATATATTTTTTAACATTTAAAAAATGTTTTAAACCCTCTCTAAATGAACATCTAAACCTGTATAGTCTAAAGTTAACAACCTACAGAGACTCCCCCTTACCATACAAAGCTCAAACCCCTAAGTAGGACATTGAAATCCATCTGTTAGTGGCA